AGCCGCCGGGCCCCTTCAGCGGCGGGGCCGGCGGCCGCCGTCGGGGGCACACGGCGCTCCGCGGCTTTCAGAGGCCGTTCGGGGTGTTGGGGCTGTCCCTGCGTCGGTGCAGAGGGTAACGCCGGGAGCTGTTTCTCCGAGCCCGTCCTGCGCCGTGTTGCCCATCCACAGCCCCGTTTGGCGGCGGTCTCGGTCGGCAGAGGCCGTCCCGGTGCTCCGTTAAAGGGTAGGGCTGGGTGCTCACCGAGCAGCAGGAACCCTTCGTGCCCTCTGGTTCTCCTCCGTCGTGGTCTGGGTGCTTTTGGGGAGTGTTTACGAGGAGGAGACTTATTTCTGCCCCGTAAGTATTGTGCAGGGTACGGCTGTGAAGCTGCGGGGGCCCAGGGCGGTCCAGAGAGAGCCCGGCGCCCTGACTGAGGTGCTCACACAGCGCTGTCAGCCCGGGGCTTGATATCTGTCCCTATCTGGGAGTTCCCCAGCTGTTAGACAGCTGGAAATAACAACGGTTGTGGGTTTGAAAGATCTTAAGCGCAGAAACGGCCTCGCCCCGACAAAGTTAATTAAGAAGCAGATTTAAGAAGAAGGAGAGAGAAATGGGAGGAGGAAGTCAGGGTCGTCTGAGAGAATGAGAAGATCTAAGCTGGCAGTTGCCTTCCTGCCCTTTTATTGTTGGTGCGATAATGTCTCTGAAGTGCCCAGGAGAGTTGTCCCTGGGCGGTGATTAATGCAGCTGCCAATATTTTATTAACCTGGTTGTGCTGTAATTGCAGTGTTAGGAAGGAATGTCAAATTTCACAGTCTCTCTGTATTTTGCTGTAAGCTGGGACCAGAAAACTCAGTAACTAGAGCCTCTCCTGAAGCATTTGGGTAGGAGGGGGTTGTTATCCTTTGGGGGGGGAGGGAACGGGCTGGTTCTTGGTGTCTGCTCACCTGGAGCAGACTCAAGCTTACTTGAGCTTACTCAAGATAATGCCAGGATGGAAAACCAGAGAGCAGCAGAGGTGGATCTCCTCTTAAAGGAGTCCATTGCTAGCCACAGAAAAAAGACTGAAAATCATGTTTAAGGAGAGTGGGGTGGTTGTGCAATAAAGGTGAAGGTGAAATGTGGTTGGGGGTGATCCTGTCCTGGTGTGGGTGGTGCCGGGGGGCCCAGCTGAGCAGATCTGGCCCTCGCAGGTGCTGTTGGCAGCCGCCGTCTGCACGAAGGCAGGGAAGGCCATCGTCTCCCGGCAGTTTGTGGAGATGACCCGCACCCGCATCGAGGGGCTGCTGGCGGCCTTCCCCAAGCTGATGAACACGGGGAAGCAGCACACCTTCGTGGAGACGGAGAGCGTGCGGTACGTCTACCAGCCCATGGAGAAGCTCTACATGGTGCTCATCACCACCAAGAACAGCAACATCCTGGAAGACCTGGAAACACTCCGACTCTTCTCTAGAGTGGTAAGGACCCGTCCCCAGTGCAGAGTCCGTGTGTGTCACCTGAAATGGTGCCATTTGCAGGAGGTTGTTGGGGAAGCACCGTCTGCCCCCACCTGGCAGCGTCATCCTCCAGAGCCTCTTCCTGCCCTGGAAGTGAGCTTTGAGGTTTCGGTGGTATTTTTGAATACACATTAAAAAAATCCTCAGTTGCAGTTCCACTGGTGAGACCAAAGGGATGATGTTGTGAATTTAGCATTAAATATTCCCTGTATTCTGGAGATGACACCCATATTCCTTCTAAAAATACCATGGCGTTACAGCCTGTGAGTGTCAGAGGCACAGCACCACTTCACCTGCGTTTCTGAGCAGCGAGTTCCTGCAGCTGCATTTGTGCAAGCAAAGAGTCTTCAGGAAATTGGCTGGTCGCGGTGTGTTGAGGTTCCTCCAAGTCAGCACTACAACAGAGCCAAGAGTTGTATCAGTATTTTAGTGTAGAAAAACTAATAATGACAAAGCTTCACCTTCTTAGGAGTGCTCCTCTGAAATCTTTTCCCCTCCCTCCCTAGATCCCCGAGTACTGCCGAGCGCTGGAGGAGAATGAGATCTCCGAGCACTGCTTCGACCTGATTTTTGCCTTTGATGAAATCGTTGCCCTGGGCTACCGCGAGAATGTCAACCTGGCACAGATCCGGACCTTCACCGAGATGGACTCGCACGAGGAGAAGGTGTTCCGAGCTGTGCGAGAGGTGAGCGGGAGAGACTGCCATGGTGGGAAACGCCGCTGTATTTTATACAAAGGTGTCACTCCACCAGTTATGTAGCTTTTCTGTAAACCGAGTGCCCGTTCTCTTGTTCCCTTGGCCTTCGCAAAGGCTTTGTGAGCGAGCGCGTTGGTTCCTGTGCAGAGTAAGACTGAGATCACAAAGCTCTATCGCTCTTCTCTTGTGCTCAGACTCAGGAGCGTGAAGCGAAGGCTGAGATGCGTCGCAAAGCCAAGGAACTGCAGCAGGCCCGGCGGGACGCTGAGAGACAGGGCAAAAAGGCGCCCGGTTTCGGTGGCTTCGGTAGCTCAGCCGTGTCTGGGGGCACGACGGCGGCCATGATCACGGAGACCATCATCGAAACGGAGAAGCCCAAAGTGGCGCCGGCACCGGCCAGGTCAGTGTGTGGTGGGAACCGCTGCTCCCTGGAGCCAGCTGGGGCTGGAGCCCCCTGGCCAAATCAAGGCGCTCTGAGGGGTTCTTTGTGTCGCCCCCCATTTGGTTACTGGATGGGTAGGGGTTGTCTTGCCCTCGGGAAACCTCTCATCGGTGTGTGCTGACCTCCGAGCCTGTAACGGGGCTGCGCAAAGAATGGTTTATGCTGTATGTTCTTCAGACACCCGGCTTTTATTATTGAGGAGTGTTTGCACAGGAACATCTGTGGTCTCTTTGGAGGCTTCGTGGGGCAATGGGCTTCTCAGTCAGTGTGGAAAAAGAGGTCCTAGCTACTGGTAGTACTGGGAACAGAAACCAGATTACATATATAGACACCCCACATGTAAGATCATGAGTTTCAAGCACATTCTCCCCCAAAAAGGCTGCAGAGGTGGAGGCTGTGTCGTTGGGATAGTCGGGCTACAGCACTCAGAGAACTGAATCTGCTGCCCTGGGCTGACTCGGAGACTCTTACACCTTTTGTTTAGGCCTTCAGGTCCCAGTAAAGCCTTGAAACTTGGCGCCAAGGGGAAGGAGGTGGACAACTTCGTGGACAAGCTGAAATCGGAAGGAGAAAACATCATGACGCCTGTAGGCAAGCGCTCCACGGAAGCAGCCAAAGTCCTTGCTCCTCCCGTTAACACAGAGAGGTGGGTATCCCCCTCACTGAGGAAGCGCTCTCCTCACCCCTCTCTGCCGTGCATGTATTTTCTCCTGAGCCAGGTTCCATTTCAGTGCTCAGAATGGGCTTTTTTCTGCCATTGGGGTACTGTGTGGTCACTCGAGCTGTGACTTTTGAAAGATGGTGGGCACAATCTTGGAAAGCTCAATGGCCAAAAAGCAGATAGTTTGAGTAGGAATCAGCTAAACAATTGGACGTACCTCCCATGTTAGCTGAGGCTGGGAATTTTTCTGTGCCTTTTTCCCTTAAAATAGCTGCCATTTTTCCCGAGTTCCTGCCTTTCTGTGGCCTAGGGTGGGAGTGTCCATGGTTTGTTTTAAATGCAGTGATTGAGAACCTTGTCATGCCAGGAGCTGTAGGGCAGAGGGTTCTGAGTGTACAGCGTGTGGAGACGCTGTGTTGTCGCTGTTTGTCTGGGCTTCCATCCTTCCTCATCTCTGTCCGAAGGGCCACGTGTTCCCCAGTTATCCCGTTGGAGCAGCTTTAATGCCCGTCTGCCTGCCATGTGGGGCCCCCACACTCGTGGGAGCTCATTGCACGTGGCCTGTCCTTGCTGAGCACTCCTCTCCCCTCTTGCCTCTTCGATGCCAAGTGCAGGACTGAGACACTTGCCTTTTCCTGTCTCTGCAGCGTCCACATGAAAATAGAGGAGAAGATTTCCCTGACCTGTGGCCGTGATGGTGGGTTGCAGAACATGGAGCTACACGGCATGATCATGCTGCACATTTCGGACGAAAAGTTTTCACGAATTCGCCTGC